TAGACGGCGGGAAAGTAGTTCGGCTGCTTGATGACGTTTTACGTAATTATAAGAGGATTTTTTACCGTTGTGTACGGATACCGCCACAATTTTTTCGCCGTCTTATAGGAACTGTAATTATAGGAACTCGTCTTATNTTAGCTGTAACAGTCCTTTCATAAATAAAACAAAATTATTTATGATTTAATTGATATTTTTAGGTTATTAACTTTATTTAAAAGTTATAATTTTTAAAGCAATTAAAAATAAAAAAGAAGTTAGGCCAACGTAGGATCAAATCTAAATTGCCTGCATGGCAAGTGATTTCGCTACAGAATCAGCCATTTTGATGTGCTCCCATAGTGTAAATTCTACCATTATATGAGCTGCGCTTAAAACTTTAGAACCCTTTTTCTCGGAATCTCCTGGCTAGTGCGCTTTACAATTTTTCTGGGTGGACACCCTTGAGGTATAATACTAACCTGCAAAATCTCATTCCGAACTGAATTTCCAAGATTGTAAAGTCCCCTTGTTAGAGGGATGACATTGAGATACATAAAATTTTGTTTGACTTAAGGAGTAGAAAAGTAATATAGGCTGCTCACAGGGATCACAATCCAGTTTGACTTAAGGTTCTACAGTATATATAATGAACCAAAAATATTTGCTAGCACTTCATTTTGTAGAACTTCATTAGGCCAATACTAAATGGAATATAATAACTTTTGAATTATGACAAATTTTTTAAATTTTTGATTTACATAAATTGTGAGAATATGCAATGACCATATAAATATATATTGTAAATATAATTTAAAATGACATTTAACTTTATTTTTTTTTATCTTGAAATAATAAGCAATGGTGACTGTTGCTAAAAAAATTTTCACAAAAAATGTCAATTAGCTATCTGTTCATATAAATTAACTTAAGTTTTGAGGGGAACACTGCTTTTATTCAGATCTTCTAAATTTATATATTGATGCCAATTCCCTAAAAATTGATGCTTAAAAAGACTGTGCTTTTCACTATTACCAAACAGCAGGAACAGTCAAATTTCTTTTTGATTGTGCATGCTTATGTAAAATCACAAGTGCAAGTTGTTGTATAATTTTTTAAAATCCTTTTTAAAAAGGATTTTAAAAAAATGAAAAAAGAGAAACTTGTTGTCACTTTCAGCATTTTCAAAATCTCCAAATTTGATTTTGAATTATGTACCCATAATTTGAAGTGATGCTGACAATGTAGAGTGTGCAAAAAAAGATTTTGAGAGAGACACTGATAACAGAAGAATTTCTGCAAGTGATGATTATGAATGGTGTGATGCTACAGAAATTAAGGCTATGCCACACAGAACAGTTGCTAATCATTCATGTAAAAGAAACTTTTTGAAATTTTACACATAGCTATCTATCTATCTCCTCCTCAGCAATATTAGTTACTTATACTAAGAAACACACTTGATTTCTATTTTCCGAGTTTTTCTTTATTCCAAACATTTTCAGCCTATTTGGATAGGCCATCTTCAGGCTTTTACATTCATCGTTCCAAATGGAACCAATTTGTTCGAATTTATTTCATTTGAATTTGAACATTTTAACAAGTTATGTATATACAAGAGTAAATAAATAGCTAACTAAAAATAATATCAAAACACGTTGCAACTAAACAAAAACAATATGGAATATTAAATGAATTAATTGAATTAGAAAACGAAATATACCAAGAAAAGTTGCATTGGTTGCAATAGATCAATAACAAAATGGCAAAACTTGCTGACATAGTGCAAAACACTGTAGAAAAAAAGTACAAAAGAAAAATGGATTGGATCTTAAGGAAACAAACTCCAAACAAAAAAGAAAGAAATGTAACACTGTATATCAAATGGGACCAATATGAGGTGCCAAAATATATGTGAAAGAAACGTTAAAGAATGAACCTAATTATGTACCAAACAATGGAAACATATGGCAAACCTCAATAGCAGAAGTGGAAAGAGGCATGACAGGCTTGAGCGTTGTAGAGAAAGACTATTTTAGATGGAAAATGATACACAATGAAAAGCAGACACAAAAGGGACAGAAAAAGGAGCAATTTAATATAAAACGCACAAAAGAATGGTTAAACAAGAATCAATTAGTATTAACAAAAGCGGATAAAACCAACAAATGGTTATTATGGAAAGAAAATGCTGCAATAAAGCAATGGAGGTGTATATCGAAAAAACCGAGTGTGAAATCTTAGATGAAAAGATAATCTCAAACACAGATAAAAAAAAGTTAGAAAGATTGAAAAAACACCACTGTCGTCCATCTTAACATTCTTAAAAAAGCACATAACCCAATCCACAGATGCCAAGAATTTTTGCATTCACGAAAACTCACAAAGAAAACAAAGAAGTCAGGCCTGTGGTAGAGAAGTGTAATGCACCAATGTACACACTGGAAAAACGATTAAAGGAATACATAAATGAAAAAATGGAAAATAATGGTTGTGTGACCCATGATCCAACTAAAGTAATAAAAGAAATACAAAACTTAAATTTAATAAACGATGAAATAGGAACTGTGATGGACTTTGGAAATCTGTATCCCTCCATAAATCTAACCTCGTGCTTCAACGAATTAATTGAATTCATGGTACAACAAAATCAAAAAGTGGAGAAATTCATGGAAAACCTACAGGATTTGGCAAAAGTAATTTGTTTTCATTCCTTTTTTTAAATTTAATGGAATAATATACAAGCAAAAGAAAGGAGTTCCCATGGGAAGTCCTGTGTCAGGACTCCTATGTGAACTAGTAATAAGGAAATTGGAAAAGAACATCATCAAAGATTTCTCCGATAGCATTATAATATACAAACGCTATGTTGATGATGTATTAATTTGGAAAAATGACCAATGCATTAATGATTTCTTAACTGCAATTAAAGACAATGAGCATGGGTTGAAGGTAAAATTAGAACAAAAAAGCCAAAAAAACCTCCATTTCTTGGATATTAACATGAAATTTAAACTAGGAAATATACAAATGGCCGTATATTTGAAACACACACACGCTCCTTTATTTATTTGTATAAATATAAACTAACTGAGTTTAAGGCACTTATCAAAAGGGCCTTCTTGTACTGCACCAATGTGCAAGACTGGAACAAGGAAATTGATAGAATTGAAAAGGTAGCAAGGAGTTTAAGATACAAAATGTCCACAATTAGAGGCCTTATCAAGCTATGGTAAACAAAAAACTAAATCACAATGCATAATAACACTACTGCATTCAACAAGTTCACATACAATGAACAAACAAGGAAAGTAGTGAATGAGTTGGGAAAATACAAAAACGTAAAGATAATTTAAAATTAAAAATATGACACTTCCTTGTTGCGGCGTTATTGACAGCAATTTGTTAAATTTCACTGTCAATAACGCCGCAATACGGAAGTGTCATATTTTTAATTGCTAAACGCTGGTGTGAAGTGAACTACATTTTCGATAATTTACAAACGAGCACCCAATATATATAGATTATTAAGGAAAGATAAGGACAAAATAGAATGGAAGAGCAAGCAGGGGTGTACAGTATTCCTTTTGAGAACCAATAATTAAGAATTGATAAAGAGTATATAGGGGTGACCAGAAGAAACCTTATGGTACATGTAAAGCAGCACAAATATAGTGTTAATAAAGGACTCAATAGCACAATATTGGCAAGTATGGCACAGTCAGACGGAGCAGTAGTCAAATGGGATGAAGCGAAGATTGTTAGAATGGGGCACTCACCGTCCATCACGATGGAAATGGAAAAAATAGAGATTTACAAAAGTAAAATGAGAGACCGATGCCTAAATGCAAAAGATGCAAATGCATTACCAATGACTTGGAAATACAAAATTGAAAAAAGTATGGGTTTTAATAATCCATAAAAATATGATCTGGAGATTATAGGAATTAATATTTAGACTCATTTAAATTTGATATAATTTTTGTTTTTGTTAAGTTGCAACACATTTTGATATTATTTTTAGTTAGCTATTTATTTACTCTTGTATATACATAACTTGTTAAGATGTTCAAATTCAAATGAAATAAATTCGAACAAATTGGTTCCATTTGGAATAATGAATGTAAAAGCCTGAGGATGGCCTATCCAAGTAGGCTGAAAACATTTTGAATAAAGAAAAACTCGGAAAATAGAAATCAAGTGTGTTTCTTAGTACAGTAGAGTCTCAAACTCGGCACTTGATAACCCGGCAGTCCGGATAACTCGGCCACACCCTGGCAGGGCAAAAAAATCCTTAGTTAATTAATTTTCATTATAGACAGCTTTATGCCTCATAAAGTATTTTTCTGAGGTCTGTCTTATCAGGTAAATTATTGTATACTGTGTATTCATTAATTTTCATTTTCATGTAGTAAAGGCTCTATGCCTTCATAAAGGACGTACTTTTCCTTTGTTTAAGGGTATTTGGGCACTTTATTCTCTATTGTATTCTCAAGTAAACAATACATACAAGTACAGAACAGTATTTTCTGAGGAAACACTCATACTTATTTTTTTTTAACCCCATTCCCGATAACCCGGCATTTTCACAAACTCTGCCACCCTTCGGTCCGCATTAGGCTGAGTTTTCAAGACGCTACTGTATAAGCATTTACACGTAGCATTGACTCTGAGTAATTAAGATTTGTCAAATCTGAGTTTGGATTTGAAATCCAAAAAATTGTTGGAAATTGTGAAGTAACTTATGCAACTCACAATTTTTTTTTTCTTTCAATATAAATTTTTATAATGGATTGGTATTTTCTTTTCTTGTTTTTTTTTTTCTTTTTACAAAAATTTAATTTTACCAAACAACTGTGGATTATCTTTCTTCCATCATTTATGGGCTATAGCTTTTATTCAGGTAGAAACTGTTTTATGTTGTTATGGTAATTTACATAATAATGATCCAATGAATAAGAACATTTAGATTACACATAATGTGGTAAATGTGTTGACTTTTTCAATTAAAAATTTTATAGGCTCAACATCAGATGTCCCATCCTCATGTTGCTCCTCCTCCTTCTTACAATGCTTCTGCTCCAACTTCTGCTTCTGCCCCAGATCTGCCTTATCCAATTCAACCAGCTTCTACAGCTGATGCTGAGAAATTAAAATCTCTGTATCCAAATTTGGATGAATATATGGGATTATCATTATCTCGTGAAGTAGTTTCTGCTCACTTGCCTAATGTCGTTGCAACTTATCCTGCAAGTCAAGTTGCCATTCCAGCTCCATCCTCTCATCAGATGATAGCTCCACTTTCTGGTGATTCAGTTGGATTGAAGAGAGCACAAGTAACTCATGGTATTCGTGAAATAACTATTTGCAAAGATGGAAATGGGAAAGTTGGTATGAGAGTTCAGCCTATAGACAAGGTAATTAGGTTTTAAACATTAGATGATAATTTTCAATATTGATTTGGTGTTAATGTGTGTGTTTTGTAGGGTGTATTTGTATCTTTGGTTCAAGCAAATTCTCCTGCTGCCTTGGGTGGTTTGAGATTTGGTGATCAAATTCTTCAGATTAATGGTGTGTTGGTTGCTGGTTTTAGTATGGATAAAGTTCATGATCTTATTAAGAAGGCTTCTCCACAAAGTATATCAATGGCTATAAGAGATAGGTAAGTGGATATGAAAAGTGCAGGTAAAATTCGAATTTACACTATGCTATTACATTTATTTAAAATCCAAAATAATTACTATATTTTCATGCATATAGCTGCTTATTCCTTTCATATACCTTGCAGAAAATTGCTAGAACAAAAACAAAACCTTTGCATATTTTTCCTTGCTACAAATCCCACATTAACAGAGTAGATATTATATGTACCAGTTTGATTGTAATTTAAATTTAGCACATAACTTGCATTTCTTTTCAAATAGCTTTCTAAATCTAGATACTGGATAACTGCAAATTATGTGAACGAAAAAATGGTAATAGTTTCTTTGTTAGACCTTTTCAAGTTAAGTTTTTTTTTCTGATGCTCCTCACAAAACTAAGGTTATTTTTTTAAGAAATAGTTTTATCCTCTTTATTTTACTAAAATAGTATTATGTAGGAAATAAAATTTAACAATCAAATTTGACTAAGGATTAGAATAACATTCTAAGGAAACTTTATTATTTCATACCTCATTAACACATCTTCTGAATATAATTTAATTAACTGCAATTAACAGTTTCAAAGAAGGAAATAATTATGTTTTAGCAATTAATCTGAAGAATCTACAGAATAAAATATTATTGCAAAATGGTAATAATGCCATAAAGATCAGTTTTATTTTTTCTTCAATTAATTAAATTGATCAATATTTTGAAAAATCCAAGAAGCATGCCATTTTACTATGAAATGTTCAGTTACATGAATTCAGTTCCATGTTGATTCATCTATAATGCGAAATAAGATTTAGTAAAAGTTAAGTAAACTGAGAAAATCTGTGTAAGTATTGTTTAAAAGAGAGTAATAATCCTAAAGAGATCATTTTAATCTACTTCATAGTGTAATTATATTGTACAGATTTACATCTTCATTCTAATTTGTTGCTAAGATTTTATTCTTGAAAAAATATAATTAATTAATCAGCAATTTATATTCAATAAAATAAATCTATATTAGAGAGATAAAACTTAAACAACCTGGAGTGATAGATACTGTAATAAAATTACTAGTGTTCTTTAGTGAAAAAATTTAGCATCTTGAAATATTGAATGCCTTTAAAACCAAACAACTGCTGGAATAGATCAGGCTATATTACTGTTTATTTATGTTTATGTTTTAATGCTTTGTCTTACATAGCAAAAATATAAGAAAATTACACATGCCAAATTATCATAATAATTACTGTTCTATCATTTGATTATTAATATAAATAACCTGTATGGTTACATATTGTAAGTAAAAGTATCAAGAAGTAAAAATACACTGAGTGCAACATTATTACCAGCTTTTTATACTGCTAGCGCTTTCAACGATTGTATGATCGTAGTCTTCAGGTGAACAAAGATTTAAAATGAATACAAATGTTCTAACGTGAGATGGGACAAATTATTTAAATTAAAACTTTTAAAAAACGTTTTAGAATTAAAAGCTGCTGCAAAGTATAAATATCGATTACATTCAATGTTACGATGTGATGAGGCGCATGCATGGATGCATATCCACGTTAACATCCACTGTTGCACGACAGTGGATGTAAGTCACTGTTTAATTGTTTGTACAAGGCAACCAATATATTGGGCAGGTCAAGGATAGGAGTGTTACACGATTCAGGGGTTATTGTGATTGAGCTCATAATGGGTTGTAGTTCTGTTCAAGCATCTTTTTGAGAGCTCTGTGGTGCGCTTTCCTTTCACCATATCATCCTGGTGTTCAGCTAGGCAGCTAGTGAGCATTCTTGTTGTGGTCCCAATGTACCTGGTGTTCATCCCCATTACGGGATTCTCCAACGGTATGGCATAAACCACCAATTTTTCAAAGGTGAAGAATTTGTCCCGATCATTACAGATGAGTCTGCACAAATTTGTTAGTGGAGATAGGGGCAGACGAAGGTTATGTTGCCTGAATATATGGCAAATAAGTATGGAAAGGGGGCCGAGGTATGGCAATGCCAGTTGAACTACTGATATCTCCCTCTTGTTGGATAGCGTCGTGCATGGAAATAGAGATTTCCTGACCATGTTAAGCACGTGCGTGAACTTAGCACATGAGAAACCAGATGCATGTATTGCCAAACTAATGGTCTTTAATTGAATATTTACAAGCACTTGCATTGATGGTAACAAGAAGGCACATCTAGTAAGGGCAGCAATGTGCCTTCTTGTTACCATCAATGTAAATATTCAATTAAAGACCATTAGTTTGGTAATTGGGACCACAACAAGAATGCTCACTAGCTGCCTAGCTGAACACCAGGATGATATGGTGAAAGGAAAGTGCACCACAGAGCTCTCAAAAAAGATGCTCGAACAGAACTACAACCCATTATGGGCTCAATCTACATTACTCGGAGGCTGTAGCGACCGGAAACTCGTATTTATATGGGAAGCCCTCCTCACAATAACCCCTGAATCGTGTAACACTCCTACCCTTGACCTGCCCAATATATTGGTTGCCTTGTACAAACAATTAAACAGTGACTTACATCCACTGTCGTGCAACAGTGGATGTTAACGTGGATATGCATCCATGCAAATGCCTCATCACATTGTAACATTGAATGTAATCGATATTTATATTTTGCAGCAGCTTTTAATTCTAAAACGTTTTTTAAAAGTTTTAATTTAATAATTTGTCCCATCTCACGTTAGAACATTTGTATTCATTTTAAATCGTTGAAAGCGCTAGCAGTATAAAAAGCTGGTAATAATGTTGCACTCAGTGTATTTTTATTTCCCGATACTCAATATTTGGTGTGAATATCGAACTATATTGCATTAAGTAAAAGTATCACTCCAGAATACTTTTTCTTCCAGAATAGTCTAAAATTAATTACTCAGTCTTATATCTAATTACAGTAGAAGTTTGTTTATCCTGCACTCAATAATTTGGCACATTCTAAAATGTAGTCAATAAACACAAATTGCCCGATAATAATGCAACATGCTAGTATTTGGAATTTGTTGGACACATTAGAACTAGCATATGTTTTTCTGTTTTGATGTAAGTCAATCTACACTAAGAACAGATTTCTTAAACTGAGAACATATGCGTAACTTTTGTGAACTGTGCACATACAATAGATATCTGGGAAATATTACAGTATACGTACTTTACAAGAATCATTGTGAATGTTAATTATGTATAGTAATATGTTCATTGATTGAAAAAACCTGCAAAAAATATTAAAACAAAAAGAGTCATGCACTATATCATCTTGAGATGTGCATAAACAAATCAAAGCTTGTAGCAGTGTGTGCTGATAAAAATATACATCATCTGCAACATTCTGATCATGTATAACTTATAAAATTTTGTGATAATTCAAAAATGTCTGGAAAACCCATATTGCTCTAATCTTATAGCATATAGATTAAGAAATTTTTACTGTATTAAGTTTAATACAAGATGGTGAACAACCATGAATCTGTCTTTAGTTCAAATTACATAATATCTGTGTAATTAATTAACTAAATTCTAGCTTAATAGTTAATCCACCTCTGTCATTTGATTATTAGTATAATTCATGTTTGATTTTTTTTTTATCATTATTTCTATATTGATCACAGAATTGATCCATAGTTACTATTACCATAAGTTAGTTTTAATCTGTTATTTGTATAATTGAGAAAAAATATCTTTATCCATTGTATTAAAAATTTTTTTATTCTGCATAAAATATTTGACTTCTTATGTTTCAATAGTTAATACACTGTCAAAATTCAAATATAAAAATGAAATTTAAAATTCAAAATTTTTGAAAATTTTTCAATTCTAATGGCTGATTATTAGAACTTTAAAACGTCACTGAATTGAAGAGCTCTGTTTAAAACCACAGCTATCAATATCTTTTGTTCTGGCTCAAAAACTTGATGTTGCTAAAGAGGAAGATAGAAAGGAAGTATAGAGAAAGGAAGTAGAAAGATATTGACATGATTTAGTTTAACTAATATCAGTTAATTAATAATGATTAGTTTGATAATTAAAATTAGTAATCTTTCTATTGGTTCTGTTCTGTACTTTAGATGTTTAATTAATGGTGATGTAATAACTAATACTGTTTTATTTAAAGTATCATATAGAATCCAAAATTATGTGTAAAATGATTTATTGATAAATTGTAATTTCTACCTATCAAAAACTTATTACTCGACTTGGATTTCAGACCGTTCGAACGCACCATTACATTGCACAAGGATAGTGTCGGACACTGCGGATTCGTTTTTAAAAACGGAAAAATTACCGCCATAGTGAAAGATTCGTCGGCCGCCAGAAACGGTTTATTAATAGATCATCATTTACTAGAGGTAAATTTTTCATTTACAGATAAATTCTCTAAAATTGTTTAAACAAGATTTATATATAGTCGTGTGTATAATGAACTCGGATTAAATAATAAAATGGACTTGGATGCTTATTTCGACTTTGTCTATAAATTATTAGGACGGGAAAGACTATTGAATTTAAACTCTGGTACGTCCAATAATCTTAAGTTTTCAGAATTAGTGGTACTGTATTTTTAATTAAAGAATATTTTCAAATTTACTAACTCGTCATTAGTATCTCTTGCGTAAATGTTTTAAAATCTTAAAACAGCCTTTGGCTTTGAGATTCCCCTCAAGGCCGCTCCTCCTACTTGGTGGAGGATGGTATATTTCAATGCAAATGTTGTAATAAAACGTTTATTTAAAATGGCAATTTATAGATTTTTTTAAAAATCCTTAAAGAGATTAAATGCCTCACTTATGAAAATAAATAGGCTTTTATTAAGATTTACAATGGGAAGAATTTAAAATTTTTCTTTTGGTAAATCTTACAAAAGTAAAATTTTGTATTGAATAACTATTTTAAAAATATATATATTAAATTGCATAAAAGTTATTATGAAAGTGTAAGTGTAATTTAAAATGAAATCCTGTTGTTTTCCTACACATTACACAAGTTATAATCGTGGGAATTGACGTTAAAAAATTGTGTTTGGACGATTGCTGGAAATGACAATTTTGTGGTTTTTGATCAATGCATTTCTACGTGAACACTTCTTTAAATCCAAGTCCAAAAATTAACATGTTTTTATTGCTGTCCATTTGAGGTTAATAAATCTTTTATAATCATTTTTCACTTCTAGATACATATTGCTTCTCATTACAATAAGTAAATGTCCAAAAATACCGTGGCTGTTTTTGATTATTCCCACTATAGTTAGATTTTAATTATCATTTTAAGCAGAAATAAGATTCGAAGACCCGCATTTTAAATAAGTGTAAAATTTCAAAAATCCTTAAAATTATAATTTTTTTTATAGGTAAATGGCCAGAATGTGGTAGGACTTAAGGACAAAGAAGTAACACAAATAATAGATGCTGGAGGAAATGTTATCACCATTACCATCATGCCGTCGTTCGTTTACGAACACATTATAAAACGGTAAATTATTTCCACGATTTAAGTTCATATTTGCAGTTTCGTAGTAAATTAATTTCTTACTTATTTTCAGAATGGGATCGGGTTTGAAAAATAAGATGGACCATTCCGTTCCCGATATGTAATCGCCGTCGACTTCGGACTAAATTCCATTTTTATTGATTCACAGTATTAAAATCCATCGGCAGCGTTTGCCCTTTATATCGCCAAGGTTAAAAATTTTAAACGTAATTAATAGTCTATATCTTTTGTAAGCCAGGTTATCGAAGATCAGAAATTTTGTTAATGTATTTACTATTTTGTGTCTATCCGAAATGATTATTTTTACGACTAACCTATAATTAGCCGTAATTATTATGTATCGTTAACGTTTTGTTATTTCTATCGATTTGTAAGTTTCGATATGTAAAATAAAATCTTAAATGTTTTAAATTTATTGTTGCTAATACTATTTTATTCGGAGATTATTCTAAAAATTAACTTTTAACTGTATATTTTAATATTTTCTCATTGACAAAATTAGTAGACTATTGGACAAATTTAAAATTTGAAAATACAATTAAATTTTTCTAATAATTAGATAACACCCGTAACCTATATAAAATGTTTTACGTAGGATGTGACCAACCCTTTGAAGATTAGTACCAAAATTAAATGAGATCTCGTTACAGTGCAACGATTGGCCACCCTTTTCGGCTAGGACGATCGATCGATAACTACCAGTTTTATGAAATACAGTACAAATAAAATAAATGACATTTTTAGTTTACGTATTTTCGTGTTTTGATTTTCCTTCCTCCGATATTTTTTAAGTTTTTCGAGAAGTAAATATCGGACGGAACAATAGGTGGAGAAATAAAATGAATATATTTAAATATTTAGACTGAGTTTTAGTGCAAATAAAGCAATGGCGATTACTAGTACTTAAAAAATATAATACGGACGAGTGAGTAAATGTCTTTGTTTCTACGGTTAAATAATTGTGAATCGATTATTAGATCTATTGGGATATGAGCAAAAGAAACTAACGGACAGCACCCAAACGAGGACTAACTCAAAAATGAAAGTTATTTGAATAATAATTGTGTTTTATTAATATGCGTGACAATTGTATTACGAATGGTTTAATAAAGTGTATTTTTTCTCGCCCGAGAGGACTTAAGTCTCTAGTCTCCTCCGTATCCACCGTTGAATAGAAACAAAACTAAAACGATTCGAACTAAATGAGCACGTCGAGTAACGTCGATGGAAATACAAGAATAAATAAAACAATTTAATTAACATAAAAACAATAGACAACTGTTTCGCAAAAAGGAAGAACTAAGTGGATAGACCACTAGAAATAAAGAATAGGAAGAACAACAAGACTTTCGATCGTAATACACGGAGAAATCTAATGCGCGAAAAAAGACATGGCGACGACATCATTTTTTTAGTTAAACGATTTATAACAGATTCAAATAAACATTTTAGCAAATCTGTTTTGAAATAACGTGAATAATTAAATGTAAACTATTTAATAATTACACAAGCAAGAGAACAGTAATAAATTGCATTATTAAATCTTTGTTTTAATTATAATACCGTAATTTGCCAAAAATAAAAATAATTTGTGTTTCCGAACTCATTCGAAGTTTTATTACGATAACCCGAGCGTCGCCGGGTACATCGTCCAATTCGTTTATAAAAACGTTTGTATCGTCGTGGCCAAGTTCATAAATTTTGAAATTTGCGAATTTGTCTTTAGAAAGCTACGATTTGAAATCCACTAGTAACAAAGCAGAGAAATTCAAATATATTTGCATACCGGATACACGAGAATATACGTATCTTTTCTCGAGGATCCCGAAAGGTTATTTTTCGCATGGTAGTTATTGATATTTCCCAATGGAAGGTTTTTAAAGCCTATTTCGGCGTTACTTTTTTGTAGTCGGCTCTCTGCTGATCCGTTTCGGAGGTTTTACCTTCAGATTCAGAGGATTTTGTTTTGTCTAGAGCTAAATTTGAAGATTTGTTTCTAAGGGAAATTATTTCTTTGTTATATAAAAAAACTTAATTATAAATTCATAGAATTCGAAACCAAAAGTAAAACACTTTGGCGTAATTTTATTTCATTGCCATGGTTAAGATGAAAAAAGTATGCAGATTATAATCGGAATTGCCAGTTTCAGGGTTTTTCCAAAATTTAGAAAATTTAGATTCTTTTCTTCCCTAACTTGTATCTATCTTTAAGAGTCAAGTACGAATTGCAATTAAGAAACAATCCGCTAAAATTTTATTCCTCCAAAATGAAAAGCAAGAAAAGTCGACTGCATCGGCATCAGGTAGGTACAGTACAGTACGGCGCAGGGGCAGGCGAATGCCAAGCTGCCATTATTGAAATATATTAAAAGAAAATGACACATTAATTATTTAAATAAAATATTTGATATTTTGAATAGTACAGTAGTTGTAGTTGCTGCAATTATTTAGGCTGTTTACACATTTTTGAAAATCATAATTTAGAGGCTTTTTTAGAGGTAATTTCTACATTCTTAGAGATTTATGGAAGTAACGCGCTCCATTTTGGGAATAAGATTTTATATAAACGGCAACACTGACGAGAAGCACTTTTTATGCAATTAGTTAAAGGAGCGGTAAATGTACACTTTTATCAACGTTTAAATATTAAAAAAGCGAAATTTTTCAAACATAATTATTAATTATGAAATTAAATTATCCAATAGTTTCATTTGACTGTTCGCTTATTTCTTAAAATCGACGACGAGACTAATGAAACGTCATCATCCGCGTGTAAACGGAAGTTCGGTTTGGAGTTTTCTTTGCTAACAGGTAATTCTCGGTTATTAATTCTAAAGCGGTGTATTAAAATAGTATTTGATGTCGTTGTTCTTTAATCTAGTTCTGACAATTTATGAATCAAGAGAAGTTGCTTCTACATAATTTAAATGTATATTTAAATACGTATACCTAAAATAGGTTCCTATTAAAACTCTTGTAGGAGCCTTCTGTAAAAGTTGATCTTACTCGGTTGACCTTAACGTATGCCGTATTGGGCGGCTTTTGTCCCAGAAACTTATACTGCGTGAATATGGTAGTTCGTTGGTACAAATGCAGCTCCGAACCGGGCGGACGAGAACTTTAACGGATCCTTAGACCGGCGATTCGAATCTTCTCTCGTGTTGCTGATCCCTAAGACAGTGATGCCAGATTGGGCTACTTTTTAAGTGCCCTCGCTACAAAAATTTCAAATTGGGCGACACGCTACTTTTTGGGCTAGTGATAATTATCTTCAGGCTACAAATCTTAAAAATACGCTACTTTTTTATTTTCATATATAAAATCGCAAAACACTTATTGTATTATACAAAAGAAATAAAGTTTTATTTAATTTCATTACACTTAAGTATATAAATAAAGTTGCAACGTTTAACAAAGATTAAGATACTTTGCTTTCGTTTTCCATCAGTCGTTCGCTCCAGTAGATAATCCACAACTTCACAAGCTTGGAGGTGACATTGCTTGTGAAATTGTGGATTGTCTACTACAAGCACTTTGCTGTTGAAATTGCCAATTTTCTCTCCCAATAAGTGATCCAAAAGTTATTAAATTTTGATACAACAGTTCTTGATACAATGGAAAAGGATGGCCTTAAAACTGAAAAGAAAAGCCGCAGTCGCTAAGTCTCTGAGTTCAAAAAATGAATCGCTTCGCCTGCGAATGACTCGCTTTGATTTATAGAAAATTGATGCAGATACACCGAATGTCCATATACAGGGTGTATCAGAATGACGTTTTAAAAATTTGGGGGATTGTAAAGGATGAAATTTTGAACGTTTTGGTATAAGGAACCTATAATCGGAAATTTGAACTAAAGTGTCTACAGCGGTAGGAAGTGCTTGACCGCCCTTCACTTTGGTAGCTACCCTTCCATCCATTGACGTCATGTTATTGCTGTCTAACTGAGCCTGTGTACAGGACGTTGTGTACTCAGTGCTTGTCGTTCTTCAGGTCACCCCTTGCATCCACTGGCGTTGTGATGTAAACACACAGCTAGTCAGCGTGAGTCCCTTGTGTACGCAACACCAGTAGGAACAGTTCATAAGCTTACGGAGCTCATCTTTACAGCATTTAATACCATCAGAGGGGAGCGTGGCATCTTACGGAGAGTCAGACAAAACATGGTTCGTCGTTGCACATTATGTAACGAAGTTGGTGGTCGTCACACTGAACATTTACTCTAAAGTAGTGCAGCCACTGATTCGATGTACAGTTTGATTGTACTCTACTGTTTTGTCAATAAAACTTGTCATAAATACTGTATTCTGTTTCATTCAGCATACCGACTTCATAGAACGTGCAAAGTGCAGTAGAAACTTTATATGTATCTCATTTCCGGCTGTAGGTTCCTTACATCAAAATGTTCAAAATTTCATCCTCTACAATCCCCAAATTTTTAAAACGTCATTCTGATACACCATGTTTATGTATATACATATATTACAAACTTATTTCATTAGTAAAAGTGCATAGTTGCAAAATAATTCATTTTTATTGTTTGGGCTACAAACAGTTCAAATCTGCTACTTTTGGAGCACAACCACGCTACTTTTTAACCTTCAGATCCGGCAACACTGCCCTAAGACCCCGGTACTATTGCACGTGCGAATGACGCCGTTGGGACCTTAACGGAGCAGAAATTCGATGGTGCCGTTCGCATCCGTGGTCTTATCGAAACCCTTGTACCGCGATGGACCGTGGACTACCGGTCGAGAGATACGTCCATAGACTGTGCGGGGATCGATGTAGATGTCTGGAGAGTCCGAACCTCTCGTTCAGAACTGCAATTTTACCGATATGTTTCGCTTGTTCGAGATTGCAGTCGAGTGCCCAAACAAACACTCGTTAATACAGATTTTGATATTTTAAAAACAAAAATGACAGAATTGTAACTATGGTTTCTCAAAACTGGCAAAATTTTGGGAATAGATTACTCGTATATAGAGAAGAAAAATAAGTTATGACAGAGGTCGAAAAATGCTTTGCTTTAGAGTTGGGGGACGAAACCCGCTTTGTGTTACTTCGGGCAAATGTTCGAAATGACCGCCGCCCGCCCGAACGTTGGCCTCGGGTCGTTTCGACTCCCGAACGTGCTCCCGGGTTCCCGGTGTGGCGCGTGTTGTCCGACGAGCTGCCGTAGTTTGCTCGTGAAAAGTTTTGGAATTGTACCTGTGGTCGAATGTGCCGACGACAAAATCCCCCGGTGACGGTTGTAAATAAACTTCGACGGTTGTAAATATAGTTTAACGTCGTTCTGCTCGGACGTGATTACGCGTTTTGTCGTGTAAATTTATATTTGCGAGTCTTGGATTTTATTGCGGCAAACGAATGCGTTGGGATATACTTAAGTGTCCCCGACGCCTTCGTTGGTTCAAGTTTACCTCGGTGGTCCCGATGGCGGCGCTTTGGTTAGGTTAGGTTAGGTTAACTAATTTTTAGTAGACGTTTCCTGTTTTTTCTTTTGTTCGAGAACTGCCGTGAATCGATAACTAGTGATGTTAAACGATCGGCGGCCTGCTGGCGGCTCCCCTTCGGGAGGAGTTCGTCGGAAGCGCGGCCATTGGGGCTACCGAGGTAAACTTTAACTCTTTCGTTTTAACTCTAAAGTGAAGCATTTTTGGACCGATATCGTCGTAATTTATTTTTCTTCTCTATATGTCGGAAATCCATTTTCGAAATATGCTGTATATGAACATATATTTTTGTGTAATATGCACGTTACCAGATGAAACTTTTTAAACTTGAAAACATTTGGAAATTTTGAATAGAGAAGTCAGTTATAAATTTTGTTGAAGCTTTGTGAAAGCAGCAATAATAATAATTTTGGCAGATAAATGGAAAACCAGACTGCCTAGTACAGTAATGAGACGGCCGGACGTCCTCTCCTGTTCGAATGAAACTTGGCGAGTACGTAGTTCTAAACATAAATAGTTCTTTGTCCAAATAATAGGACCCGTTTCTCGAGCGTTTCTGAAAAATGGGCCTCTGAAAATTGAGTGTTTGGTTTATAAGTTTGGAAGTTCTATGTATCATGTAAGAATGGCAGTAGCCGAGTGGATGAGGTTGTAGATGCTGAAACTACTTGATATGGGCTCAGTTTTAGGCGACTTAAGTCAGTTTTTTCTTTTTTTAAAAAAAAAATATGTAACACAGTTATTTTATTATTTTTGCATATCATTAGCATTATTATTACTATTCTTATTCCTCACGTTTAGAGCTTATAAAATGAGATTAAAAATTGTGATGTCGTTTCCTTTTTAGCAAAAATGAATTTTCTAGATTTAACTCTTTTATGTTGTTAAATAAAATTTTTACTTATTATTTATTTTGATATTTTAGCTTGTGATTACATACTCTGTCAACACAAGTGAATAAGCTTCAGATGTTATCCTCGTGGACGAAAAAGACGAATCCCCGATATGAAAATAGGATAGCATAGTTACAGAGTTTTTCTTTTAATTGTTAATGTTATTGACAATTTCCTCATGCACTTATGTTTGTTACACTTCAAATAAAACAATACCACCATATCTGAAGCTTATGTGAGGAACAAGAATGGTAATAATAATGCTAATAATATGGTAAAATAATAAAATAACTGTGACAGTGCGTGAAGCGCTTCCCCATCCTTCGGCACCACTTAGTTGATGCCACATTGGGATTCTGACACCACTGTGTCTTCTGGACAGACACAGAAACCTCAATAATTGCTAAAATGGTTCGTGCACGAGTGGTCACATATTTAGGCAGACAAATCTGGGATAGAGGCGAGTTGAGAGAAGCGTATTTTAGGGACGTGCACCAAACACAAGATTAACAATAAGAAATATCTGTTTATTTACATAAGTTATTTACAAATAGGCTGAACATAGGCTATTTACAATTGAAAGGTTGAACATTAGTTATTGGCTATCATGTTGTATATTATAACTATAGGCAATCCCTTTGTATATAAGGCTAGTATAGTCTGGGCTCGCACATAACTATGTTACACATTAAAAAAATAAATTAAACAAAGGATCAAAAAACTCTCAAAAGATGAAACCTATATCATGTAGGTCCAGTGTCTAGAATCTTAACCACTCAGCTACTGCCATTCTTCTGATATGTAGAACTTCCAGACTTCCAGATAAGCTAAACACTCAATTTTCAGAGGCTTGTTTTTTGGAAATGCTTGAGAAATGGGTCCTATTATTTGGACAAGGAATTATTTGTGTTTAGGGCTATGTGCTCACCATGCGGATCGTTCAAATCGGAGAGGTCAACATCTGGCTGTCTCCTTGTAAATATATACAGGTAACTCCCATATAACACGGTAGTTACGTTCCAAAAAATTGCCATGTTATGCGAATCCGTGTTATACGAAACAAAGAACTAGTACGAAAAGGAGGGTTAGGTTCCAAAAATTAAAAAACATGCTACTATATAACAGCATACATGATAACATGAGCAACCCAGGATATTTTCAATTAAAAATTGAATTTTGACTATTTACAAAAAATTTTTTAATTTTTCGAGTCTATCTTGGAATCTATCTTATCTAATTTTTCGAGTTTATCTAAAAAAGGATGAAAGATAGACTCGAAAAATTAAAAAATTTTTTGTAAATAGTCAAAATTCAATTTTTAAATGCTACTATATTTTCATAATTAAGATAAATATCTTTATTAAAATTTTCTTAAGTGATACATATTAATATAAACAATGTTTTCTTTGTCATCACTAAAAGCACTATTAACCGAGAGCGTTTTATTTTTGGCAAGTTATCATTA